GCTGTTGTTGGCGGGCTGAAGATCTCCGAGGAAGCGTTGCACCCGTTCCGGTCCGAACGGTGGTTCTGGCTCTCCCGTACGGGCTGTGTGGATCTGTGCCGCTGTCTGATGTCTGTATGCAAATGCGTTCTGTGTGTTGATAAAGTCTTCGGTACTTACTAGAAAGCAGAATGGGAGAACCGTGTTGACGACTAGCTTGTGACTAAAACTTCCCTTGCAGAAAATCGTTATTACTTGTAATAAACAGTTTATAAACCCTTGTCAGTTAGTGTACTTCTGCAGTAGAACTTGAGCACAACATACTGTTATCACACTTAGAAAAAGTCTTTGTGAAAGATAACTAAAGGCTGTGAAGTAGAGCCTCATACCCTTCCATCTGCATATTTAATTAGTAGTGTCATAAGCATTCCTTCTTCCTTGTGTACGGTCACCTGTTACTTTGTCCTCAAGTGTTTTCAGTGTGCCTCATCTATACTGCAGATTATAATATTGTATTCTTCTTTTCTATGGTCTCTGAAAGTGAAACATTTAATTACGATCTCCAGCTGCGCTTCTTCACTTTTTTTCTTGATGGAGCAACTGTCATAGCTTTTCTTAGCAGGAGGAAAACAGACCTATGATTACGCTCCTGGAAGGGCTCTGAAGATTTTTTGCTGTTTGCTCAAGACTCTTGGCTATTCCTACTGCTTTCTATTGAAGTTTCAGGCAGTATCTTCCATGAGCAAAAATGAAGAGTTGCTGCCTTTTTAGCATCTTTATTGTGGGTCTTCCTCCCCCTCGCCCCCCCCCCCCCCACTACCCCTATTAATTTAGGTTGTGCTCAGCAATGATATAAAAGTTGGTATAGAATTTGTACTGACTTATGGATTGAAATAAAGAGTGCACGCTCTTTTCTCTAGGTTATATGGAGTTATTTCAGTGTTAAAGCATGCTTTGTTAGTAGTGAAGATAAAACCTTAAGTATTAATTCAGTGTTTCAGAATTGTAATAGTGGATTAAAACTCTGCTACGTGTTTACTGAATTAATGTTGGCTGCTATTTTTTTTTCTTTTATTTTTTTTTTCTAACTGTTATTTGGAAA